CTGTATATCTATATATACTGTACACTGTATAAATACAGCATATACATAAAATGTAAGATGTTAAATAAAATAGGCAACTCATATCCTGATTGCTATCATACATGTATTAACCTATTCAATTATTGGAACACAATTTTTGCAAAGCTGGTGGTTTAATGACGCACCCCTCGGGGGAAGGTCCATGGTGCAATGGGATTACAGGAGTGGGATAAATAATGCTGGGTGTCATTCATCCCAGAAGACCATCTTGGGGAAAGCATAATAAAATATTAATTATCAGGCAGCAGGGGTACAGTACCACAGAGGAGGTGAGTATTGCATGATAGGTTTACTCAGGGGTGTCCCTACAGTATTAACCACCTGAGGCCGGGAAGGGGGTGCGTGCTTGTGACGAATGTTACCAGGGGAGTAGGGGGTGAGGGGCGGGGTTGGCTGCTGCTACCTCGGGGTCTGACTTTGTACGGTGTCCCGTCCAGCTCACTGATGTCACTGGTTGCCATGAGCTGGGCAGCACACCAGCCAGAGCGTCCCGCTCAGCTCCTGCCAACCAGTGGTGTCAGTAAACTGGCGGGATGCTGGCCAAAGCATCACAGTTTGCTAAGTGTTCTTAGCAACCTGGCACGCTTTGGCTGGAAAGGGGGCGGCAGGTGGACCCAATGAGATGCCGTCCGAGGCAGCCTCCTCAGTCTGCCTCATTATAGGGACAGTCCTGGGTTGCACCCATACACATGCAGTAATGCAGCATGACCTAAAGCATGCCTTTTTTTGCAAGTTGAGACTTGTAAAGGGCCCTTTAAGTGAATGTGCTACCTCAACACAACGCACAATAGCACCCGAGTAAACACCCATAAACTCTAATATAGAGTACCCACTGATTGAATCTATTGTAATCCACCCATAACTGTAGTACTTGGTTCATGCAAATCAGCTTTTCAATATGTTGCTCACTTTCTGTGAATTGTACATTTTGGTTTTCTCTTTTGTGTTTTAGGGAAACATTTGGGAGCAGATCTTGAGATTCCCTTTCATTTTGGAAATGTTCAACACACTGCCATTCTTTGTGACTGTAAGTACAATTCCCTCCCTCCAACCTTTTGTTCTTTACCCTTTTCATTCTCCTCTTTCTGATCTATTCTCCTCCAATCGTGCAATACCAGGTCCATATACAGAGCAACTGACCCATGACCACTCATGGCAGACGCTCAACGACTTTGTCCTATTAATCTGCAGTCAGGATCCGTATGCACCTTGCCTGGAAACCTTTCATGCACAGCAGGAGGTCTGTCTGTAGGAGTGTGGGTGCAGGAGCATATGAACGCTTATTATTTTTAGTGCTTTTAATCTTCAGTACTATTCTTCGAGTGGCACAAGGGTCATATACAGTATTTGCGGTTGGCAGGTTACATAACAAACCTCCATAGCTACAATGATAAGATATGATGGCCAGTACGGCCATAATAAATACATTTAATGGCAGTTTATTTGTATTCTTTCCCTCACTTCACTTAAAAAGAAATTCTACTTTGGTTCAGAAACCAGAGATCAGGTATAAGCATTGCAATGATTTTTTAACCCACCTTATTGCAGACTCTTACCTGCTTCTGTTCTGTAGTTAGTGAACCAGGCAAAGAAGGCTGAAAAACAAAAAAACAAACTGATTATATCCAATCAACATAAAGCGTTGTATAGAGCTAACTGAAAACATATACCGGTACAGCAAAATGACAATTGGAGTGCAGATTCTTCCTGTTTATATTTATACAGTATATATATATTGTACAGGACACCGGGGCTGGGTCCTGGAAGGACGCTATATTTCCCCTCTGTTTGGACTGTTGTCCCTTTAAAGGATGAGACGGGGTTAACTCACCTGCTGGAGGAAGAGTGGGTTTAAAAGACAGGAAGTGGTAGCTAAGACTGTCCTGGAATCATTAGTCTGCATTGTTTTAGAAAAACTGTCACATGACAATAAACAAAAATTTATCAGTACTCGTACTTGTAAGTACTCGGCAAGTATCAGTACTCGTACTCGCAAAACTGGTATCTGTGCATCCCTTTATTTATATTTATAAAAACAAAATCGTACATTAAAACAGATGTACAAATCCCAGGAGCTCCGTGTGCTCCTTACAAATGACAGCCGCCTCCTAACTTTTTAATATTTCTCTAGTGTAGTCTTGGAGCTCAAAAGTATCGGTACATGTACTTGTAGTGAGTACAATACTTGGTATCTGTGCAACCCTAATACCCTAATATATATATATATACATTAGCCCTAACACTAGTATTAGGAATTTGCCCTTCTGACCATGCACAAGATCAACCGACTGTATATTGCAATGAAGCACACTCCGATCCACTCTTATGTCCAATGACTTGTGCACAAAAAAACACAGCCTAATGGTATAAATTATTCATCTCAATTCTTCAGTATTCCAATGGCTGTCTGCAATAAAGACTTTTAAGTCCGATAGTTGAATCCATTACTTCAGTCTGTTTGATGGCTTTTTGAAATAAAGAATTTATAACACTAGCTTTCTGCTGTCTACTCGCACTTTTATAAAAACCTATATGGATTGGAGTATTGGATCCAGTGGCGTAATTATAGCCATAGCAGCCTAGGTGGCTGCTGTGGGACTTGGGGTGGTAGGGGGCCACATTAGGTTAATGAGACAATTTAAAGTGACATTAAAGGATAATTTTTTTTCCCTCCCCGCAATGTTTTATTATAATGTTAATGTCAGCAGTTACCTTAAATGATGTCTCTTAATCCGAACTTCCTCTTCTTTCCTGATGTTTTCATCTGTCCCTCCAGTGGTGCGGCGGCTCTCCGATCCAGCGCTGACTCCTCTCTGCTAGCAGGCACTTCCGAACCAGCGGTGTCTGCATGCAGGTGCACGCGTCAATAGACTTACCTTGCGTCTCTGCTCCTCTCCCGGCCGAGAATCCGAACTATGCATGCGCCCGTCCCAAGATGCTTTGCGGCCGCCCGAACAGTTTCGTATTCTCGGGCGGGAGCGCGCAGCGAAAACAAGGTAAGTTTAAACCGCTGTTAAAGCGTTTTGTTTTAAAAAAAACAAAACATTTTGCATATATTTACTGTTTGATAGCAGTAGATATAGGCAAAAGAAACGGAGGGGTACAGAGATGAAGGCAACTGGATGAGTATCGCCTTCCATCGCTCGTCCTCTGAAATAGTCCGGCACACCTGAGAACTCTAACATTCCCCAACCTGGACATAGGCAGTGACTGTAAGAACACTCACACAATAATATCCAAGCTGCCACCATCCACAAATTACAGACCATCATCACCCCACTGGCAATACCAGCATGTATTGTGAATGAATATGTTGCCATCTTATGCTATCTGAGATTGATGCACAATGAGAGATTGTACTCGCCCAAATGCTCCGATACTTACCTCTGATACCGGAACTTCCAGTCAGAGGGAGATCTCCCGCTGACCTCAAGTGCCAAGGGAGCATGTAGCCAGCTTCCTTTCCAATCAGGAAGCTGGGCGGTGGGTTATGACCCGCCTCCCGGCTTCCTGATTGACTAGGAAGCTGCTTTCACTTGTTGCTAAGCAGCCTGGCTTCCTCACTAATCAGGAAGCAGGGGGGCATGTAATAACCTGCCTCCCGGCTTCCTGATTGGTCAGGAAGCCAGGCTGCTTAGGAACAAGTGAAGCCGGCTTCCTAGCCAATCATGAAGCCGGGAGGCGGGTCAAGACATGCCGCCCGGTTTTCTGATTGGCTAGAAAGCCAGCTGCACTTGTTGGTAAGCAGCCTGGCTTCCTAACCAATCAGGAAGCTGGGAAGCACGTCACGACTCGCGTCCCAGCTTCCTGATTGGTCACGAAGCCACGCTACCTAGGAACAAGTGGCGCAGGCTTCCTAGCCAATCAGGGAGGCGGGACATGGCGTGCCGCCCGGCTTCCTGATTGGCTCAGAAGTCGACTTCACCTGTTGCTAGGTAGCCTGGCTTCCTGACCAATCATGACTCGCCGCCCGGTTTCCTGATATGTCAGGAAGCCAAGCAGCCTCAGCATGTGAAGCCGGTGTTCTTTCTCTAAAACACCGGCTTCACAGGCAATCAGGAAGCCGGGCGATGGGTCATGATCCCCCCCACCCAACTTCCTGATAATCTGGGTACTCGGTATCGGCGAGTACAAAAAAAAAAGTATCTGGTACAGCCCTAGTGAACACAATGACCACAAGGTGGCAGCATAACACAGAACAATTAGGGAAGAACTCCAGGACATTTTTTATCAACCCCTGAAGTAGGGCTACCCCGCACTGCAAGGGTTAACTGCTCATTTTCGTCTAGGTGCTAAAATAAAAAAGTTATACTCACCTAATCCTTGGAGCTGGCTTGCTCTTAGACCAGTCCTTCCAGCCTCACTCCCCCTCCACTGCAGCAATCTAAGGATCCTCAAGTCATCACGTCCAATACATTGTGTATAGGACGTGAGGAGGCCGAGTGAGATACCATTGCTGGAGCGGACGAGGAGAGAGGCTGGAGGTAGTGGTGTCACAACGAGTCGGCTTCAGGGATCGGGTGAGTATAACCTTGTTATTTTCCTCCGTAGACCAAAACGAGCAGTTAACCCTTGCAGTGCAGAGGTAGCCCCAGTGCAAGGGTTAATAAAAGTGTTGCCTGGTGTTCTGCTTTAACTATGACAATAAACAGGGAATAAACACGAATGCAATGACATAGTTCATATACTGTAACTGCTGGAGACAGCACAATTATAGTCTGACATCTGAGGACAATCAACATCCATCATCAACAGTGTATCTAAATCCAAACCTGTGTATATATTGCATATTACCAGTCCTCAGATGTAGCGGCCACAGTGGTTTTTGGGGGGTTTTTTTCAGTCTTTTTCCCCCTTTATTTTCACCCTATAATCCTGCAAATAACACCTTCTTTTCATTCAATGGCTACGCTATGACTATGGAGGGAGGGAGCCATGCTTGCCACCCAGGCCAGACTTTTAAACAAGTTCTCCTCTCTTCATCTCCATTACATGGGTTCGAGTTGAAAGAAAAAAGCATTGTGCTTTTAGTTCAACTCGCAAGAAGTGACAAGGACATTTCTGGCAAGATTGACAGGTATTTTTTTGTACTTGTTGAAGAAAAGAGAACACTAATGCAGCCGCCACATCTATGGACTAGGAAGCTGCAACATAATACCCTTTGTCCTTGGGTATAGATAAACTATAATGCTTTCTAAACAGGCCATTGCAGTATAGGTGTGAATGCATCCTTCATTGGAATCTATTGTTGTATTCTCTATTCAGTGCCTGGCCTGAGTGTCCTTCTTCCTCATTCCAATTTGTTCTGTTCTCCAGATCTTGGCTTCCTCTCTCTCTCTTTCCTGTTTATTTTAACTACGTGTCGGATAATATAATTTCTCCCACACTCTTGCTGCCCATGGTGGGTGCCAGGAATGCTGGAAGATCGGGCACAGCTGCCATTCACTGCCTACAGGCGTCACTTTTCAGTCAGCTTGATGAGTACGTGACCTTGCCCCTCTTGGAGTGCCACTCGGCGGCTCCCATTCTCCTCTCCTCCAATCACTCCAACCTCCGGCTACTGTGTAATAAGGCGAGAGCTGTTATTAAGGCTTAGAGGAGACATTGGGAGCTGATGTTGGCTTATTAGGAGCTGACCTATTCTGCTACAATTACTATTTCGCAGACACGTCTGTCCCTTGTCAGTCCTCTTCTTCCTCTCGGGCTCTAATTCTTATCAACGGTAATGCTGTGCTCCACTGCGTGACCAAAGCAAAAGGCTGTGTAGGTGTAGGTGTTTGTCTCTGTGTGTGGGAGGAAGGATTCCTTATCATTTTTGCTTAAAGAACCCCAGCCAGATTGAATTCATTGAATCCACGTAATGACTGAAAACATGTTAAAGGGTATGTACGGTCAAAAACTAAAAATCTGTATTTCTATATTGCATTTCCATAAGTTCTATTCCACTCCTAATAACCATATTCACCTAGAAGTTTGTAAACTTACTTATAAAAGATGCCCATGGGATGTACTTCCTCAGTGCACTGACACCATTTCACTCAGCCCTGTGCATCTGACTTGTGTCAGAGCCTGCCATCTGAACTACAAATTACCCCTATTCACTAAAAATCACATCAACGTGGATCTCCTCATGCTGATATGAAATCATCTTACTTTCATTAGTAAAACGAACATATTTTTATTTTCCTTACAATTATTGTTTTTCCACTTCCCGATCCTCTTGGGTATTAGTGATGTAATCGTGCCTGAGCATTACATCCTGAGGTTACATCAGCAGAGCATTGCTGGGAAATCTCATCTGCAATACTGGCATTGTCATCAGGGAAGAAAAAAACCATGGATGGAAGAACCTGGTCATTCATTATATCCAGGTCGGCAGCTGACCTAATTTTTGGGGTGCATAACGTTGCTGGACATATTATCCAATGGAAGGCTCTGACCTGTTTGCTTAAAGGAGAACTATGAGATGAGTGATTTACCGGGTTCACTCACCTCTCGATCCTGTCACGGCTCTCTGCCGTGACAGGGGGAGGGCCTGGATTCCCCTCTCCCCTGGTGGAACGGACGGGGGAGGGTACAGCTGGCTCTGCCTCTAGATAGGCAGAGTCAGCTGTCACTCACGTAGCTGGGCGGATCCCGACATCCATGTCGGGATCCGCTCCGGTTGCGGTGTCTCAGTATACCGCGAGCTGTAGCTTTCGGTATACTGAGCTAAGGGTAACGGGAGGACGCTAGTTTGTGTCCTCCCGTTACCCTAAGGAGAACTATGGGGAAAAACACTGACCCCATAGTTCTCCTTTAATTAAATCCCAGGTGGTGACTTTTTTTTTGGACAGGCGGTGTATATTAGTAGACATCCAATATATAAGGCGAGTCCATACCCACTGAATCAGGGAGGTCACTGAATGTGGAGTCCATTGTACTTTGGTGGGTCTTACATTTTGTGTCAGAGTGGAAGGAGGTCTACACATCTGATGAACTGTTTGGACATTTTTTTGGACAATTTACAGCAGAAATACACTTTTGACCTACATGTGAATTGTGGGGTGGTGGGTGCACATTGCGAAGCACTCGCATATATTATCCATGTGTATAAAGGGCAGTCGCACTCCAGAAATAAATCTTGTGTATATGTAGCGCTCACCCCGGAAGGAGCCGCTGAATATGAAATAGGTTCTCCTACCTGTTTTCTATGCCACCTGCCCCCTTTGCTCAGATCCAGCCCACCGACACTCAGGAACAGAATGGACTCAAGTCTTAGGGTCTTTTGGATATTTATTTGTAGGATCGACAGGAGAGAGGGTTTAGGGTCTGTAGGGTGCCCTGACAAATTCTTCAGAGGACTGCTTCCTCCCCTAGTAACAGCTAAAGTCAATAGCACTGTGGTCCTGTCAGAGTGACCAATAATAGGAACAGTACTGCGAACAGCCAGGATGATCCAGTACCTTGTAGGAAAAGGGCTATCTGTGTACTCAGGTAATAACAGCTGGCCTCTTCTATAGCAGATACCTGGAATAGGGTGAGGGATCTCTTGTAGGGTCCAGACGGTAGCTCTCACCAGCTCCTCTGCAACACTCCTCGACAAGAAGACTCCACCTTCAGCCCAGCTTCCATCTGGTCTCTTCTCAGCTGTATCTGAAATCTCTGTGCCCTCAGCATCTGCCGCTTGCTGAGGTGCATGCCAGATATTCAGTAATATCCTCTAGTTCGAGGCACCCAACACCTGCCACGTGTATGGGCCCAATCAAAGTATCTGTGGTATCCCAGGCCTCTAGGCCCCCAGCACCTGCCACGTGCTGAGGCCCAGGCCAGTCACCTGCATCACACAGACCTCTTAGGGAGAGGCCCCAGGAGGCGAGAGAGAGTTCTGCACAGTGTCCCCAAACCTTTTATCACCTGCCCTCAGCCATACCTGTGAGTCATCCTACTCAGGGATTGGTCAGGGTCAGGTACACATTCATAGTCTGAGGATGGATCCCCCCTCACTATGCCAAGGCTCCCTTTTCCTCAGCAACAGGAGGAGCAATCGATCCAGCAGACTCAAGGACACCTATAGAATGCAGAGCTCTGAATAATCAGTATCTAGACTGGTTACAATCCAGATATTCACTAGATTTAGTAGTGACCACTAGAGGGCGCTACATATGCTATTTAATCCATGGGCATAGGATAAGCTGTACAGAACACACAACTTCACGCTCTCACATGTTCCACCATTATGACTTGATCACAGAGCTCACATGTATTATATTATTGTTTTTATGTTCAATTCAGCACAGATTGTTTATGTTCTTCACTAATGATTTTAGAGTTTTGTTTTAATAGTATTTATTAGCGCTGCATCACATTTATGTTTATCTAGAGTGTTTGATTAATAATTTTTTTGGTTTAGCACATAATTAGAGGGACGCACATAATTGTTGGAAGCACAGAAAGGTCCTAGTTTTGGGACCCTAGTGAACATCCCAAAGGTGTTCAGTAGGGTTGAGGTCAGCGTTCTCTACAGACCATTCCAAATAAGCATGTCCTTATGGAGCTGGCATTTTGTACTGGGATACAGAAAAGGGCCTTCACCAAAGTGGTGCCACAAGGTTGTAACTGCACAGTTGTTTAAAAATGTCTCTACCTTTAAAGGAGAAGTCTTCCTCCAGATTTCACCAGACCACTACTTTTCTAATATTTCAGGTCTGATTACATGGAATGGTGGGTTTGTTTTGAGGAAGGGGCACTGATTAAGTAAAGCAGTGCTTTTGCCTTACACAGAACTCACCGCTCACTATGTTCAGACCAACATGGCATGACAACAATCCTAAGTAATGTACCCAAGTGCTGCCTTCATTTACTGCTATCTGTGCTCTGTTTTAGGTGTTCTGGCCTCCATTGAGAAGTCTTTATATACCAGTCTTCCTCAACTGCTGGCTGGCAAAACATGCCTTGGAGAACATGATTGTAAGTTACCGTTTATTTTATCAAATGTGTCTTAAATTTACAATTGGGAATACCATCTTATCCAATTACCTATCACTCCTTCTGCAGTGTCTTGGAAGGCTGGCATCCACTTTTCTGTTTTGCTAATAGTATATGGCCGCTTGCTTTAGCTCCTCTCCATTCCTCCATTCTGCATTGCTAAACCTGTGTCTCCTGTGCTCCTATGTGCTGTCTCTCTGACCTTGGTTCTCCTGTGCTATTACTATGGCCTCTCTGAATCTGGCTCTTTTGCTATCCTTCTCTCCTCTGTTATGCCTCTCCGATTCGGGCTTTCCTGTGCTCCTCCATGCTGAATATTTGAACCTGCCTCTCCTGTGCTTCTCCATACCCCACTCTCCTTTTTTTCCTCTATGTTGTTAATCTGACCCTGGCTGTCTTGTAATCCTCCATACTGCTCCTCTGACTTTGACTCTCCGTGCTTTTCCATCTTGTATCTCTGATCCCTCTTCTCTTGTTCTCCTCCATATTGTAATTCTGCTTCCCTCCCGTCTGTCTTGTTCTTCTCCGTGTTGTTATTTTGTCCTTTCTTTCCCGCTCTCCTCAGTGCTGCCTCCCTGATCCTGTCGCTCTCATTTTCCTACATGCTGCCCCTCTGTTCCTCGTGCTCGATAATGCTGCCTCTCTGAACCTTGCTCTCCTATTATTCTTCAAGTCTGCCTCCCCGACCCTGACTCCCTTTGTACACCTCCATGCTCCTCCATTATGCCTCTCTGACTGTGGATTTCTTATACTGGTCTATTACATCCCAGCTCCCCTGTTCTCCTTCATGCCGCCATTCTCTGATGCCAGCTACTCTATGGTGTCCAGTTCTTATACTGCCTCCCCATGCCCCTCCATCCTGCCTGCCCTCCCTGTTCTGTCATTTGCAGTACCTAGCACCAGGGCCGGATTTACTCTCCTTGCCGCCCCAAGGCCAGGTTCCACAATACGACCCCCCCCTCCCCATCAATTGTGAATGGCAACCAGATGGCAGGGCGGCGGGGTTAGTTTCAATTTTTTTTTTAACTGTTTATTTATTTTTATTACTTTTTATTTTTATATTCAATTATTTCTTCTATTGCCTAGCACCAGATGCTGCTTCTAACTAAGAGATACCGGAATCCAGACCAAGAATTGGAGCAGCAACATGGGACCCATTTAGACTGGCTGAATAAATAAGTAGAATACTTCCTAATTTTAACATGGCGCTCTGTTTCTTGTATGTCATTAACATTTAATGTTTCATTCTACGTTTCTGGAGTTTCTCATTATTTTATCTGATGGTTCTTAAAATTGAGAACTGTCTGTTCTTGCCAGAGGAATTTCTTTTGCTTTGATTAATCACTTAAATTTGTTTCAAACTATCCCCGATGTTAATAGATTAGTTATATATATTTGGATACTGGAGCAGACAATCCTTTATCATCGTCCTTGCATTCCATTATTTTATTTTTAGGAACACTGATTCCTTTTTAATTTTAACACAATGCAAAGTGAATTTGATGGGCAAAGGACGGGGGTGGGGGTCGGGGGGGGCAGGTTATGAATCCTAGTTCTCGCTCAATTTAATCTGAAGGTAATATCCTGGATGCTTTTCAGGAGAGTTGAGATGTAATTAAGAAAGTACCATCACATTCATACACTCTAGCTCAGTGCTCCCCAACCTTTTTATCGCCGCGGAGCGGTCAACGTTTGATAATTTTACTGCGGCCCGCTGAGGGGGGGACGTTGATTGTTTATATTTTAGATTGTTTTGATTTAATAATTTTAATTTAATTGTATTTAAACATGCCTTCAAAATAAAATACAGTTACACCAAAAAATTTATATAAAGTGATTTAACATTTTAACTCAATAGAACGTGGGCTAATTTGTGGGTTAAATTTGAGCAAACACAGTATACACGTACACCAAGCACTGTTAAACATGAGAAAGTACCGGTAAACAGAGAGAAGAGCGATACACACCTTCTCTTTACCAAAGCTACAACGCCACTGCCGCTTGCAGCCGCTCAGCTCCAGACGTCACCTAAAACCGCCCCCATATCACGATATTTTGCGCATGTGCGGTATTAATGCGGCTTTAGGTGACGTCTCTCAGCTCCCAGTTAACCTCTCGTCCTGGAAAGTCGGACAAACCCGAGAGAAATACACCACAGTAAATAAAATGGAAATAATTTAATGTTCCTTGGGCGGCCCGGTACCATTTGATCCACGTACCGGTACCGGTCTGTGGCCCGGGGGTTGGGGACCACTGCTCTAGCTGACTAAGCTGATATACTTCGTGCAGCAAATTAATTTTGGAAATAGTTTTTTTTTTAAATTGCCTATTTAGTTTCATTCAGTTTTAGGGATCTGCAGCATCTCAAAGTGTCTACTGTGCAAAGAGACGTTTGCTTACTGCCAGCTGGGTACTGTGTAAGCAATGTAATGTGTCTATAGCAATAGTTAAGGAAGAACTCCAGGTTTTTTATAAAACTAACCCCTGCACTGCAAGGGTTGAGTGCTCATTATCTCTACAGGACTCAAACAAAGCAGATATACTCACCTGATCCCCGGCCCCAAAGCTGTCAGCATTCACTTCTCTCCCCCACTGCTCCGACTATGAAATGTTGCTTGGCGTCCTCACGTCTAATGCAAGTTAGGAGACCTGCATTAGACTTGATGACGTCAGCGGTCCTTAGACCACCAGAGCCCAGGGGAGAAAAGGCTGTGGGGACCGGTGGAGCAGCCGTGAGGGACCAAGGATCAGGTGAGTATATTTTCTTTATATGCACCCCTGGACCAAAATGAGCACTTGGCTAGCCCTACAGCAGGGGCTAGTTTATTAAAGTCCTGGAGTTCCTCTTTAAGCTTCAACTATACCCTAAAGTCTCCCCAGAAAAGCACTACATATAAATGCAAAATTTGACATACCAAATCTCGTTTCTTTTTTAGTCCCCATTCACACCAAAATGTATCATTCGTGGGCGTTTATTTTCCGCATTGATTTCAGTGGGTTCTTGGATGCGTGCCAAACACAGGAAAGTAATGCATATAGCAAATTCTGCGACATGAGTTCCGTGTTTTCTTCCTGAGCATTCATGTGTATCCTTGCATGTACAAACTCGTGTTTATTTAGAGTGCCATTAACCAGTAATGGCACCGCAAGCGCGTTCCACATTTGTTGCACATTTTTGTGCGCATTTGACTCGCGTTCACAGTACATTATGGTATCAACAGAGACTTAAAGAAATGCCTAGTGATCCTGCCATCCCTGTAAAGGTGGCCATACACTTTACAAACATCGCAAGACCTTAGTCTTGCGATGGTTGTAAAGTAATTAAAAAAACATACGATCTGCCCATCTTGCCCTAAGGGGCGGGCTTCCGATGACCGCAATGCTGAACGGGCAGTGTGCGCGTGCGCATACCGGCCCGTTCGGCATTTGTCTCCCGAGCACCGTTCAAACCAGCCGAAAATCGTACGACTTTCGGCTGGTTTTCTAGCGTGCTCCTTAGACAAAAGACGTGCGACCGTACAGTAGCAACGGTCGCACGTCTTCGTTCACACTGCTCGATTCTCGTACGATCGCGGGATTTCCCGCGATTCTCGTACGAGAATCGAGCAGTGTATGGGCACCTTGAGACCTCTGTTGTCACCTACAGCAGCTGCATATCGTTTCTTCCAATGGGAACACCTGTTTCTGTGCCAGTTGTCTAATGGGGGATGTCTCCTTAGTTTAGAGAGATTTCCTCACTTCCTGTTGTGTCTCTAGAATAGGAAGGGAAAGGGAACACAGAGTAAAAAAGAAACCTGCTACAAAAAGAAAAAAAATGTTTTAGCTTTAGATATTTGTCAGTTTTGTGAACATTGCACATACTATACTCTGGCTAGTCAGTTTTAGAAAATTGTATGAGTTACAAACATGTTGTTCGTAAAGTTTCCCGACACATTACTAGTGACTGTGTTTAAGTGTTTAAGTATATTCGTTAGACATGTAAATTTCGCTTCGTTCCGAATGGATGTGGAAACACATTTTTTGTGGGGTTATATGTCTAATATCCGTGCTGTCCTGCCGCTATAATGAGACGTGGCATGTTCCTAAAGACTTGGTAATCCTGGCCTTCAGAGGAACCAAGAAGCAACAATTAAAACATAAGACAACCGATTGGTTCAATATTAAGAAATAAGTGTGATAAGTCATTATAATGTAAACTTATTTATTCAATCTAAACGCTGAATATATTATTATAAATGGCAGCCAGATGAGTCAAAAACTAGAATTAGAACAGCCAGGAATGTAATCACCAACCTCTGATATGAGGAAGATTCCGCTCGGATGAATGAAAGTGAGGATGATTTGGGGAGCCTTTTGATTAAGGTGAAAAAAGATCTCAGGACTGCTGGCTTGCTGCACAGCATCAAGAAGACAAGTTATTCCAACTAGGCCTATTAAGCCTCGGCGAGTAGACGGAGGTGGAGTGGAGACAGAAACATTTTATTCTTCAGGGATCAAAGAACTGTTCAGATCATAACCTCATTTGTGAAATTAAAAGTTGTTTCCTCTTTGGAAGCAAAGCTATGGCAAATCTGGACAAGATGATACAGTTGACCTACACTTAAAACTAAGCTACGGGTTAGTTTAAAAATGACCCTTTCTATGCGGCTCCCCCTGCACGTGTTCAATGTTCGTTTTCTCTACGGGGTGACGAAGAAGATCTATCTTTTAGGTGCTCATTTGTGTCTAGGCGCTAAAAAGGAAAGTTAAACTCACCTGAACCAAAGAGCCAGGTGGCAGCTACTTCAGTCCCTGAAGCCTCTCTCTTCATCCTCCACAGCGATGGTATTGTCTTGGCGTCCTCACGTCCAGTGTACTGTATAGAACGTGATGACTCAAGGATCCTTAGGCCACTGCATGGGAGAGGGACAGAGGCTCCAGAGACCGGTCTCGGAGCAAGCCGGCTCTGAGAATCGGGTGAGTATAATTTTTTTTAGCACCTA